CAGTTCCAGCCTCAGCTTCTATTTGCCATTAAAAAACAAAAATGGGCTGAGTGGTGGTGGTACACACCTTTAATCGTAGCACTCAGGAGACAGAGACAGGAGGATCTCTGGGTTTGAGACGAGCCTGATCTACAGAGTGAGTACTAGGACAGCCAGGACTACACAGAGAAACCCTGTCTCCAAAAAGCAAAAAAACGGGAGGGGTGTGTGTGTAAGTGTGGTAGCACACACCTTTAACCCCAGCTGTGGGTTAGAAGAGGCAGATGGATCTCTGAGTTTTAGAGCAGCCAGGGCTGCATAGTGAGAGACCCTGCCTCAAAAACAAGCCAAAGAAGCAAGGCAGGAAAGAAAGGAAATTAGAGACTCTGAGGATATTGAAGTAAGCCCATCACAGACTGCTGGCAGGTTCTGTGTCAACTTGACATAAGCTAGAGTTACCTGAGAGGAGGGAACCGCAACTGAGAGACTGCCTCCATAAGATACAGATGAAGGGCATTTTCTTAATTAATGATTGACGGGGGATGGCCCAGGCCACTGTGGGTGGTGCCTTTTCTGCATTCTGTAAGAAAGCAGGGTGAGTAAACCAGGAGTAAGCCAGTAAGCAGCACCCCTCCATGGCCTCTGCATCAGCTCCTGCCTCCAGGTTCCTGCCCTGTTTGAGTTCCTGTCCTGGCTTCCTTTAGTGATCAACAGTGATGTGGAAGCATAAGCTGATGAACCCTTTCCTCCTCAAGTTGCTTTGGTCATGGTGTTTCGTCACAGCAACAGTAACCCTAACTAGGACACACAGAGACACAAGTGGGGTGTGATTCTGAGGAACTTGCCTGGCTCCATTTGGAGGGCAGGAGCCATTATGCTGTATTGTTAAAAATAAGTTTCTGCCGGGCGGCGGTGGCACACACCTTTAATCCCAGCACTCGGGAGGCAGAGGCAGGCAGATCTCTGTGAGTTCGAAGCCAGCCTGGTCTCCAAAGCGAGTTCCAGGAAAGGCGCAAAGCTACACAGAGAAACCCTGTCTCGAAAAACCAAAAAAAAAAAAAAAAAAAGTTGTAAATTCCTGGAATGTACGTACCATCATCCAGGACTTAATCTCAAATTGTAAAAAATTCTTTTTCTTATATCACCCCTGAGCGCCCCCCCCTTAAAGGACCTACTCCCTCTGTTCGGGTCACAGAGCACATCCCAGCCTGCCTGTGACCCTAACTAGTTAGAAGTTCTGGTACCCCAGGGTGATGGAATAAAGTTGCTTGTGCTCATACAAGGTTGGCAGTCTCATCTTCAATATTTGCACAATTCCCAGACCCAACACACATGATGTTTTTTGGAGATTTTTTTTTCTGTATTTCCTTATTACCCAATCTTCTCTCTTCTGTAAAACAGCTTTGCAACTACTCCTAATTTTACTCCTTAAAAGGGGCCCAAGACATGGATTCAGGCTGCTCTCTTTAACCCGACTTAGGAGGCAGTCACTGGCCACCCCAATAAAAATCAAGCTCACTTCAAATTTGGCTGAAATTGAGGTAGTGGTTTTATTCTTGCTGGGGAATTAACAATTCCATTTTACAAGTGCAGATCCCAGAGACAGAAGGGAGAAAGCTGGTATGGGAGGGGAGGGGAGAGCTGGACGTGGTGGCATTTCAGCTTTACAGGGTTGAAAGAGTCAAGGAGGTGAAACTATTTGTGCAGATTATTAGTATATTTAATACAAAGCTAGAGAGGGCAGAGAGGTATCTGCATACACTTTCACTGTCACTCACCATGGGAATGAACAGGGACACCACAGCACAGCCGTGCACAGTGCTACATGCCTGTGATCACAGTCCTCAAAAGGCTCTCAGAGGAATCTTCAGTTCAAGTTCAGCCTGATTTACCTAGTAAGAGTGTGTCTCAAAAAACGAAGCAAGCCGGGCAGTGGTGGCACACACCTTTAATCCCAGATTTGGGAGGCAGAGGCAGGTGGATCTCTGTGAGTTTAAGGCCAGCCTGGTCTACAGAGTGAGTCCCAGGACAACCAGGGCTACACAGAGAAACCCTGTCTTGAAAAACAAAGAACAAAACAAAACAAACAAAAAAAGCAAAACAAAACAACTACATAATACCACTTTAAATTCACTGGGTGGTTAAAATGAAAATGGATGATACAACCAGATGATGGGAAGGATATGGAGAAGATGGACTACTCACACAGTGGCAAGGAGAATACAAAATGGTATAGCTCTTGTAGAGTTAGTAATTTCTTATTAAACTAAACACACAGGTGCTAAGAAGATGACCCTGTCAAAAACTTCCAATTTTCTAGGACTTTCACTAGAACCCCCAGTAACAGGGAAAGGAGATGCACTAAACCCCTCATGCAGCTCAGCAGTTTCTGGTTTTGTTTGTTTGTTTGTTTGTTTGTTTTCAAGACAGGGTTTCTCTGTGTAGCTTTTTGGATCCTGGCCCGGAACTTGCTCTATAGCGCAGGCTGGCCTCGAACTCACAGAGATCTGCCTGCCTCTGCCTCCCGAGTGCTGTGATTAAAGGCATGTGCCACCACCGCCTGGCTTCAGTTTCCAGTTTTACCAATAGATTGTAACTCCATCAAAGTTCATCTCTTGAGCCATCCTCTCTCTCATCAGAAGACAGAGGACAGGCTGCAGAGTGACTGTTCTTGCAGAAGGCCCAGGTTCAAGTCCCAGCACCCCCCTGCCAGCTCACAACCACTGTAACTCCAGTTCCTAGGAATCAGCCCTAGTTTGGACTCCTTATACCAGGCACACACACATACACATACCATACAAATAAATATAATAAAGAGGGACTGAAGAAGCCGAGTGGTGGTGGTGGTGGTGGTGGTGGTGGTGGTGGTGGTGGTGGTGGTGGTGGCGGCGGCGGCGGCGGCGGCGGCGGCGGCGGCGGCGGCGGCGGCGCACGCCTTTAATCCCAGCACTCTGGAGGCAGAGCCAGGCGGATCTCTGTGAGTTCGAGGCCAGCCTGGGCTACCAAGTGAGTCCCAGGAAAGGCACAAAGCTACACAGAGAAACCCTGTCTCGAAAAAAAAAAAAAAAAAAAAGAAAAGAGGGACTGAAGAGATGGCTCAGTGGTTAAGAGCACTGACTGCTCTTCTAGAGGACCGGAGTTCAATTCCCAGTACCCACATGGAAACTTACAACTTAACTGTAACTCCAGGATCCAACACCCTCATACAGACATACATCCAGGCAAAACACCAATGCACACCAAATAAAAATAAATAAATTTAAAACACACACACACACACACACACACACACACACACACACATATATATATATATAAAATGAAGAAATAAATGTAGTGTCAGTGGTGATATCATTTTTTTTGGCTCAGTTTTCTTAACAATTTGGGTACCCAATAAGTTCCTTAAATAAACCACATGTTATCTTGGCAGTAACCCTATAAAGTAGGAATTTTTTTTTTTTTTTTTTTTTTTTTGGAGGGAGGGAGGTTCAAGACAGGGTTTCTTTGCGTAGCCCTGGCTGTCCTGGAACTCACTCTGTAAACTCACTCTGGCTGTCTCTGGATCCACTCAGCCCTGGCTGTCTCTGGAACTCACAGAGATCCACCTGCCTCTGCTTCCCCAGAGCTGGAATTAAAGGCGTGCGCCGCCGCCACCACCACCAGGTTGGCTTTTTTTTTTTTTTTTTTTTTTTTTTTTTTTTTTTTTTTGGTTTTTCGAGACAGGGTTTCTCTGTGTAGCTTTGCGCCTCTCCTGGAACTCACTTGGTAGCCCAGGCTGGCCTCGAACTCACAGAGATCCGCCTGCCTCTGCCTCCCGAGTGCTGGGATTAAAGGCGTGCGCCACCACCGCCCAGTTGGCTTTTTTTTTTAAACGCCCATTTATAGATGAGGAAATACTAGACTCGGGGTGTTAAATAAATCACCAAAGACCATACAGTAATAAGGGGACAGAGTTCATTCCTTGGCTGCAAAGACGGAATTTTTACCACTGTGTCTTTGGACTCCTCGGAATCTGGGTTTGGTGCATTTTCTGGGTCTCCTTTTTGTTATATTTTCTTTTTAAATGTGTCTAGTTCTGAATGAAGTATTATTTCCCATTAATGTTGTTATATTGTGTCCATTTGTTTTCCATGGCAATAGAAAAACCTCCGCACACACCTCATCCCCACCAAGTTCAACCAGTTAATCCCCTTTGCACAGAGGTAGGACAGACTTCCGCCAGGTGGGGGCGCTGTGACACATTCTCACTCCAGGACAGCAAGCGACTGAGCCCAGAGCCTCTGTAGAGAGCAAGGATTCACCAGCACAGACATGTATCCAAGGACGCGTCAGATTATTTGACGCCACGTGCATTCATTCCTCCAAAGAACTCTGGATGAACTTCAATAACCAGAAGTTCGTGCTTCTGGTTCTTGGTCCACACTGCCACCTTTGAGAGCCAGGTCTGTGGGGAAAGCAAGCTCGTCCACCTTTGAGCATCTGTCTCCCTCATCTGCAGGGACAAACAGGAAATGAGCTTGGATCACGGACTCTAATGCCAGCTCGTCCACCGGCAGCTGGTCCTGAGCCATCAATGACCCATCTGAGCTTGGGCTGGCTCTACACCTTGGGCAGCTGGGAAATTAGAGATGAAAGATGCCAAAATCCAAGTCCACAACTAGAAACCCAAAGCTAGACTGTCCCCTCCCCTGAGTCGAGGGGAGAGAGCCCAGGAGTCCCCACCCAGAATCCACGCCTCCTTCACACCTGAAGAGTCAGGGTTCAGCTGGCAGCTACCGCTCCAAGTTCTGGCACAGCCTGGAATGAGCCGGTGGGATGGAGAAGCCTGAGGCTACCCTAGAGGCGTGTCCTGCCCCTCACCGCCTCGGCGCCGGCCTCCCACCGCCAACAGTTAGTTTCTCTTTCTCTTTGCGATCCCCTCGGGCCATTGTACCCAGGAGCAGGTCTCTGCCAATCGAGGGGGACAGATGGTAGGAGGGAAGGTAGGCAGGAGCCTGCTGGGCTCGATCGCCCAGAGCCCTCCCATTCCGGGAGCTGAAGCAGGAAGAGGGTGGGGCCTGCACTCACATGGCCCAGGAGGTCACTCGCATTTCTGGGGTCTCCCAAAACCGGGGCCTATACACAGGAAATGCAATCCCAGCGCCTGGGGCCCAGAGCTGGGATGGGACCAACCTGCCCGGGATGCCGCCGTCGCAGACCCTACTCACCAATCAGGTACCGCTGGCCCCGCTACTCCAAGATTTCCCCTGCAGTCTCTTCCTGGGGGCCCCCATTGTGCTATGTGCTGGGCCTCTCCTCCAGGTCCCCAACCCTGCGACTCCTCTCTCTCTCTCCATGATCCTCGGTAGCCCGCACTCCCTTCGAGGGTCCCGCGGTTGCCTCGTAGCTGCTTTTACACTGGCCCCCTGGCACTCCTCTCCATATCTCCCATATTTCTTCCTCTTAAAACTCCTCCTCAGGCGGGGGCTGCTCGCCCGTGGGTCTTTCCGCTGATCCTGGGCTGGGCTGTGCGTCAGAATTTAAAGACAAGTCCATGGAAGCGAACTTTGGAGCACTTTCGATGGATGTTCTAGGCTCTCCATGCTGTTCCCACCCAACCTCGGGAGAAGAGGGGGCCACTCTGATGTGAATCACCTTTCCCGAAGTAGCCCCCCCGGGAAAGAAAGCGTGAAAAGAGAAGTCCCTCGACACACCCACTTCCTGGATGGCCACTGTGACCCCTCACAACCACACCATTCAGATAACCTTTGAGAAAAAGAAAAAGAGTAGGGGGCGGGCGGGGTTGGCACTGGGGAGATTGGCTCTTCAGTTAGGAACGGTTTCTGCTTCCACAGAGGACCCAAGTTCAATTCCCACAACCAATTGCATCTCCAACTTCAGACCTCCAGGCATCCCAACATGCACATATTCTCTCTCTCTCTCTCTCTCTCTCTCTCTCACGCACACACACACACACACACACACACACACACACACACACACACGTACACATATCCAATGTCAAGAGATATAGGCAGCCCGGCGGTGGTGGCGCACGCCTTTTATCCCAGCACTCGGGAGGCAGAGCCAGGTGGATCTCTGTAAGTTTGAGGCCAGCCTGAGCTACAGAGTGAGTTCCAGAGCTACACAGAGAAAACGTTTCAAAAAACCTAAATAAATAAATAAATAGAGACATAAGCGTGTGTGTGTGTGTGCGCGTGTATATGTATATATGTATACATATGAATATGGAAGTTATACCCCCAAACTGCCTACTCCCACAGGTGACACTGTCACTGATTTCTATTCCCTCTCCTGGTGCTTTTGAGCTTGATTAAAAAATTCCTTGGACGGCTCATGTGTAAGTAGAAGGCAGGCCCAGTTAGTGCCAAGAAAGTGGAGGAGTAAGAGTGGTCAGCAGCCGGAGACCACGGGCCCTCCTGCACCCCAAGCAGCCATGGGTAGGGGGTGGGGGGATGCAGGCTTTCAAGGCTAGTTCTTTTACCTGCTGAACCATCTTCCTGGCCCATAGTGGGGTTTTTTCCCCCGTCTTTAGAACATTCACCTTCTCCTGAGTGACTTGATTCTATCTAGTGGTGGATAGACCTGTACAGAGCAACTGTCAGGAGGGGCCTCTGCAAGGCCTCTCAAGAAAAGCATGTCTGAATCTTCAACAGACAGGCCTTGCCAGCCACCGCTCTTTCCAGGCTTAGAGCTCCCGAAGCCAGGTATAGACACTTATCTGTTAATAGCCTTGGCCCATGGGTGGCCTTGAAACCAGGCCTGGGTGTCACCTCTCCTCCCTGTGACAGAGATAAGACTCTTCTTCTGACCAGGGGTTGATTGAAGGCTGGGTCTTCCGGCCTTTTGTTCTCCAGGCTGCTGACTGAGGGAGGGGGTCCAGGCTGATTCCCTCCACCAACACTTAACCATTGTCCTAACAACATCGGAGATCAACTGGTCTACCAGGGACCCAGTTCTTTCCCACCAAGCTCTATGATAGGGGATCTCTGCCTCCTGGTTTTGGGTTGTTACTGTGTTGTGGGATTTGGTGGTGGTGGTGGTGGTGGTGGTAGTAGTTTGGCTGCTTTTGTTTTTTTCAGACAGGATTTTGCTATGAAGCCTTGGCTAGCCTTGAACTCACTATATAGATCAAGCAGGACTCAATTTTGTAATAATCTCCCCCTGTTCCTGCTCCCCAAAGGCTATAGTTACAGGCTTGGGCTTACCCTGTCTATTAAATGGGAACATTTCCTGCAGGGTCATGGAAGGATTTTTATGAGTTCAGACCCAAGAAATGCTGAGACAGTAGATTGTCTATGTGAAGGTAGGAATTTCTCTGACAAGATCTCTCTCTCTCTCTCTCTCTCTCTCTCTCTGTGTGTGTGTGTGTGTGTGTGTGTGTGTGTGTGTGTGTGTGTGTGTGGTTGTACTCATGTGCTGACATCTGGAAGCCAGAGGTTGATGTCCAGTGTCTTCCTCAGTTGCACTCCGCCTTATTTCTTTGAGTTAGGACCTTTCAGTGAAACAAGCTTGTGGATTCCAGTTGGCTGGCCAAAGAGCTCCTGGGATCCTCCTGTCTCTGCTACCCTAGCTCTGGGGTTATAGATGCACACCCCTGTGCCTGGCTTTTACATCTGCTCTGAGAACTGGGAGTTGGGTATAAGCACTTTATTACTGAGTCATAGCTAGAGTACCATTTCCTTGATTTCTAAAACCTCCGTACTCTATAGAGGTGTTAAGTCAGGAAGGGGCTGGGGTGAGATGCTAACCGTTATTACTCAGGCTTGGAAGCGTTCTGTGCCGCCCATGTTCTCAGGTAGGGGCTCCACTGGAAGGGCAGGCACTGGGACACGGGTCGGACAGGAAGGACTACTCTGACAACAGCATTCCCTCCCCTTTCCCCCATCTCCCCGCTTTCGGGAACTGTCAAAGGTTGACATGAGGCGGTGTCTCAGGACTCCAGGGGCCTTGTTCTGCTTGGAGTCCCTCCAGGGCACATGCTGCAGCTTCTGTTTTCTCCCTTGTGCCTGTAGAAACCCGATAAAGCTGTTGTATCAAAGAACCTTCTACTTCCACTTTGAGAACCTACGCTATGCCAACAGCCGAAACAACACCTTCTTGTGCTACGAAGTGCATAGGATGGAGTGCGGTGAACTCGCCCCCCTTTACCAGGGGGTCTTCAGAAAAGAGGTATTAGGGTTGGAGGTGTAGCTCAGTTGGTAGAGAGTTTACCTGATGTGCATGGAGTCCTGGGTTTGATCCGTGGCGGCCCAGAAAACCCAGGCACAGTGGCTCATACCTGTAATCCTAGCTCTCAGGAAGGCTGGCAGTGCAAGATCATCCTGGGTTATGTAGAGTCCGGGGCCCGCCTGGGTGATGTGAGATCTTATCCAAACAAACAAATCAATAAATACCAAGGGGCACCAGAGGCATGGAGAAGACCAGAGTTTGGATCCCGGGCATCCATGTAAAAGCCGGGTGGGCACAGAGGGCAGCTACAATCCTAACCTATGGGAGGCAGAGCCAGGGAAGTGCCAGGGCAAGCTGGCTCACTGGGCTAGCTGAAGCATCGAGCTCTGGGTACAGTGGGGGACCCTGCTTCAATGTGGAGAGTAAACGAGAAAAACATCCAGTATCAAGTTCTAGCCTCCACATACACATGCTCCAGCACACGTGTGTTCCCACACACGGGAACACACACACACACACACACACACACACACACACACACACACACAATCTAAATAAATAGATTGCTCAGGCTCTCCTTAGCCCATTGAGAATATAGAATGATTAATGTGGCTGGGCATGGTGGTGCACACCTTTAATCCCAGCATTGAGGAGGCAGAGGCAGGAGGATCTCTGAGTTCAAGGCCAGCCTGGTCTACAGAGCCAGCTCCAGGACAGCCAGGGCTACACAGAAAAGCACTGTCTTGAAAAACCAATAAAATACATGTTTAGAGGAAACAAAATGACGTGTGTTGCGTACATGCTGTAAATGTTAACTCGGATGAGCCACATTTCAAGACTCGGTAGCTACCCACGGCCAGCTAAGGGAACATCTTAGCCTGTGCCCTCCCTGGCAGATACCGCAGATGATAACTAGCCGCCCGGTGGACCTGGCTACAGCAGGGCTCAGAATGCTACTGAGAGATGCCAGGGAGGTGCAGAACGGATGTGGGGTTAGTAGCTAAACCTGGAATGGTGAGGGATGCAAAATTAACAAAGGAGGCTGGTGAGGGGTGGAGACACAGAACCAGTCCAGTGCCAGAATCCCGCCTCCACACGCAGCCTGCTCCCCCCCCCCCCCATCATGGGTTCCCCTTTCTTTCCCAGGATGACATCCATGCTGAAGAGTGCTTCCTCTACTGGTTCCACGCCCAATTACTGGAAGTGTTGCCCCCTAGTAAAGAGTACAAGATCACCTGGTATGTGTCCTGGAGCCCCTGTGGCAGCTGTGCGGAGCAGGTGGCCAGGTTCCTGGCCACCCACCGCAACCTGAGCCTGGCCATCTTCAGCTCCCGCCTCTACTATTTTTGGGACCCCCACTACCAGCACAAGCTCCACAGGCTGATTCAGGCAGGAGCCCAGATAGCTGCCATGGACTTCCCAGGTGAGGGGTGGGCGTCAGGGCTGCAGGAGGGCCTGTGGGCGTGCCGCACAGTGAAGGGGGAGCGGCCGGGGTGCCAGCCTTGAGGGACTGTGGAGAGCTCTGCTGGCCCCTGACCGCCTTCTCTCCTCTTCTGTCTCAGAATTTAAAAAGTGTTGGGACGCGTTTGTGGACAATGGCGGCAAGTCGTTCAGGCCTTGGAAGAAACTTAAAATCAATTTTAGGTTCCAGGATTCCAAGCTTTGGGATATTCTCAGGTGAGGGACTTTCTTTTTTTTTTTTATTCGAGACAGGGTTTCTCTGTGTAACTTTGCGCCTTTCCTGGGACTCACTTGGTAGCCCAGGCTGGCCTCGAACTCACAGAGATCCGCCTGGCTCTGCCTCCCGAGTGCTGGGATGAAAGGCATGTGCCACCACCACCCGGCGAGGGGCTTTCTTATGCCGGGCCACCTCCCCTCTTCTCCCTCCTCCCAGACCTCCTCTTTCTCTGGGGCATCTTTACCCACAAGGCTCTTCCCACCCCGTAGCCTGGTGTCTCCGATCACGACACCGTGATTGAATCCTCTTGCTAAACGGAAACGAACTGGTGTATGTGTGGGCATGGAGGTTGTAAGGTAGAGACTCCAACAAGGCAGCCTGGAGGAGGTGAAGAGATGCTCAGCAGTTAAGAGCATTGGCTGCTCTTCCAGAGGACCTGGGTTCAGTTCCCAGCACCCACGTGGCTGCTCAGAACTGGACATAACTCTAGCCCACGGGAATCCAGAACCCTCGCACAGGCACACATGCAGGCAAAACACCACGGCACGTAGAAAATAATTTTTTTTAAAATAAAAGACAGCCGCTGGGCAGTGGTGGCACACGTCTTTAATCCCAGCACTCGTGAGGTAGAGGCAGGCGAATCTCTGTGAGTTCGAGGCCATACTGGTCTACAGATCAAGTTCTAGGACAGCCAGGGCTACACAGAGAAACGCTGTCTTTATTTTTATTTATTTATTTATTTTTTGGTTTTTCGAGACAGGGTTTCTCTGTGTAGCTTTGCGCCTCTCCTGGAACTCACTTGGTAGCCCAGGCTGGCCTGGGACTCACAGAGGTCCGCCTGGCTCTGCCTCCCGAGTGCTGGGATTAATGGTGTGCGCCACCACCGCCCGGCGAAACCCTGTCTTAAAAAAAAAAAAAATGCAGCCTGAGTGTTAAGAGGAAGGAAGAGGCTGTCAGATTCCCAGCGGCCAGGATGTCACCCACCAGATGCTAAGCCAGCCCGCTGTGCCCTCTCCAGGTCCCAGAGGCTGGCGGGCAGTTTTTTTCTGAGGCTCTCCCCTGGCTTGTAGATGGTCCCTTCTTGTTGAGTCTCTGTGTGCTGTGGTCCTAGCATCCCTCTGTCCAAATTCCCTCTTCCCTCTCTAAGGCTCGGATTAGGACCCATCTAAATGGTTCCATTCTGAGTCCTAAGGCTTAGGGCCTTGAACTTGGGCTCCTTACCATAAGAGACTTCTTTGTGGATGGAGAGCCCAGAGTTGTCAGGGCCCAGGAGAATCCCTGACCAAGCCCTGACACCTTCTTCCATTTAGACCTTGCGACACCCTGGACCCCTCCTCATTGTCCCCTCACCCTGTCAAATATCTGTCTGATGTCTCCCAGAGATGACGTTCTGGGGGGATGCAGGTGAGCCATGGGGACTGGACAGAAAGGAATGGTGGAGTATATACTTACGTAAGAGTCGGGGAGGGGGGTTGAGGAACAAGGCGGGGAAGAGTAGAGGCTGGTAAGACGGTTCAGTAAAGGTCCTTGTCATACAGCCTTGCCACATGAGCTTGATCCCTGGAACCCCCAGAAAGGAGGAAGGGGAGAACCAACTCTACTGAGTTGCCCTCTGACCTCCAGACTTAGGCCATGGCAGATACACACCTATGTCATACACACACACATGCACACACACATATTATAATAATAATAATAATACAAGGAATAAATACTGGTTTGTTTGTTTTTTAAGGGTAGATACTGTCTAAGAGGGACAACCAGGGGATGCACCTCTGGCCCTGGGCAGGATGGGAAGTGAGACCAGGAGGCAGGTGTTTCGGGGAAGCTCAGGGGAGCATGCTGACAGGCTGGCCAGGGATAATCGCCTTTGACATCCCCTGCCATTTCATAACACCATGAGAAGCAAGGCCTCAGCTTGACCCAGATGACTCCAGGCATGCAGACACAGGGGCAGGGATACTATGAGGTCACCATGTGGTGGCCAGAGTCCCATCTTCCTCTGGGCTGTTGGTATGTCATTTGAGGGCAGCAGCAGCCAGGGTCCTCTGGCTGGGTCAGCATGTCTGCCTTCCAAATCTCCCCTAAGGGAAGAGGTACAGAGGGGCCCTGATGTGGCCCCAAGCTCCATGATCCCAGTCACCAACATTGTCCCTCATGAGCAAGACTGCCTCTTGTGTTGGGAGGTACTTAGGCCTGTCCTTGAGACCCACCCCCGCGTGTCCAGTAGCTGCCAGAGCCTGGCATGGCTCCTCAGGCAGCATACACCACCTCTTCCCCTGGCTCACAGACTTGGTGTATTCTGTCCCTCACGGTGCCTCTCAAGGCTGGAGACGTGGGAATATTCCCTAGGGAGAAGCCAGGGTTCCACCTTTTGATGTGAGACACACCTCAGCCCTCTAACTCGGATATACAGATGTGACCTCTTCCTGAAAGGACCCAGCTCATTCTGTAATCTTCCTCAGACGCTGGCTCCAGGATGTTAGGATAGATGGGGGAGGAGGGGCTCTCTAAACTCTTGCCGGAGTCTCTGTTAATGTCGGATTGGAGCCAGGGCGGGATGGAGGCTGAGCGTAGGGAGGAGGTACCGGAGGAGGACTGTGGGGAGAGAGAAGGCCTGCTGGGGGCTCTAGTTCTTGTGAGAGCCAGGCCCTGAGGTGACAGCTTTCACAGAGTGTTCTTTGTATTTTCTAATCTGAGGCTCCTTGGTTGAGACTTGCCAAAGCAGGCCGACAGCTTCAGGAATGTGCACTTGAAGTCCATGTCCTTGTATCTTAGACCTGGCAGGCCGTGGGGGAGTCACCTCTTCCCCACCCCCTTACTCCTGCTACTTAGAACAATGAAGGCCACAGAAGCAGCAGCTGGAGCGGGAGGGAACCCAGCCAAGCAGACCTGGCCAGCACTCCAGCCATGTCCTTCATCGCTGTGTGGCTTCTAGAGACAGTCTCTGCCTCTCTGTGTGCTTGAGACCTCTTCTGAGATGACAGAGCCATGAACCTCCCCCCCACGCCACCCCTACCCCACTGTGCCCCCCTTCCTGTACTGTTGGTGTAGCAGATAGGGCAGAGGTACTACCTTCTCCAGGGCTATAGATGAAATCCTGTGCCCTGACCCACACCAAGTGCCAGGTAGGGGTGAGTGAAGAGGACTCCCATCTGCCTTTCCCCCTTCCCAATCCACCTGTGCCTCCGCCTCCCTTTCTGGCATTTACTTCCTCTTTCCTTTGGGGTCCTTGCTCAGACTGCATGGGGAGGCCCGTCTCCACCCCAGGCTCTGCTTTGCCAAGTCACAGGACAATAGGAAGGAGAGTGAGCCTGAGACTGCCAGCCTGACTGCCCTGGGCCCTCCAGTTCCCGGGTAGAGCCTGTAGATCACTATCAGGGTCTTCTAGGCAGAGCCTACTTAATAAAATGTCCCAGTCCCCACATAGTGCACATAGCATAGCATCCCCAGATGCTAACATGCTACATGGGGATGGCAGACACACACAGAGTCACATAAATAAAAATGAAATTAAAAAAAATTTAGAAGGACCTGCCTAATGCTTGGTGTAGTGGCACAGATCTTTTTGTTTGTTTTGTGTGTTTTTTTTTTTTTTTTTTTTTTTTTTCTGAGACAGGGTTTCTCTGTGTAGCTCTGGCTGTCCTGGAACTCACTCTGTAGACCAGGCTAGCCTTGAACTCAGATTCACCTGCTTCTGCCTCCCAAGTGCTGGGATTAAAAGCCTACCCCCACCCCGCCCCCTTCTGTGGCACAGACCTTTATTCCTAGCACCAATAAGTGGATCTCTATGAGCTCAAGGCTAACCTGCTCTACATGGTGAACTTTAGGTCAGCCAGAGCTACACAGTAAGACTCTGTTTAAAAACAAAAGATCTGCCTGGTGGGCACAGGCAGGATGGGCATAAGTAGATTATGAGTCCTTTTGAGGAGAAAGCATAAATCCTTGAGTAGTTCACTGTTGGAATAGGGCTGCCTGTGTATCACCATCAGCACTTTGGATGTTGTAAGACCCATCCTTCCTTGGGTTCTGGCTGACCTTTTTGCCCCTTTACCATCATCCTTGGTTTAGGTTCAGAAGCTTCAGCTATGGAATACACTGAAGGATAGTTCCAGCAGGCTGTTTAGGTGCTGCTAATACACAAAGTTCCTGTGTGTTACTGCTCCGATTGTCTTCTGGATATTGTGTGTGCACTCATGCATGCATGTGCCCACACCCACACTTCTGGGGGAGGGCTACAGAGTTACCTCTGCTGGAGCACGATTGGACAAAATAAGGAAAGCTTGAGGACTGCTCAGGGGTTAAAAGCACCAACTGCTCTTGCAGAGGAACCCCGCACTCACATCAGGTAGCTCATAATTGCCGGTAACTCCAGTTTCAGGAGATCTGACACCCTCTTCTGGCCTCTTAGGGCACCAGCATACATGTGCCCATACCCATCTCCCCCCACCCAGCCCCTACAGAATTAAGATGAAAACTAAAATCTTTTTTTTTTTTTTTAGCACTGGCTATCCTAGAACACACTCTGTAGACCAGGCTGGCCTCAAACTCACAGAGCTCTCCTTGCTTCTGCCTCCAGAGTGCTGGGATTAAAGGCATGTGCCACCACTGCCTGGCTTACAATCTTTTTGAAAAGAAAGAAAAGTTTCATCGATCTTGGACAATGAACTCAACTTAGTCAGGAGGAAAGGGCATGCAGAGGGGCCGAGAACCTGTCTACGATGACCTGTGCTTGCAGTTTTGACATAGAAGGCATGTGCTCCGCCCGGAGAACATGGGGTTGCTTTCTCCTGAAGAACCAGGCAGGGTGAGGATGCAGGCTGGGCCCAGACCACTTGGGCCTCTTCACAGTATTTCTCAGAGTCTGAGCTAGGAATGGACACCTCAGGACTGTTCTTTATCCCCCCCTCCCCCCCATATCTGCAGTCTTGGGAATGAGGCCTGGGATCTGAGGGTGGGACGCTGCTGCTAGATGTAACCTTTGTCCACTTGCTTCCGTTTTTCCTTTTGAGAGGTAGGTTGGATGAGTTAAGGCTCAGAGAATCTCACCAAACTTTACATGTGGTGAGGTATTTGGTTTGGTTTTGGTTTTTCAAGATGGGGTTTCTCTGTGTAACAGCCCTGGCTGTCCTAAAACTCACTTTGTAGACCAGGCTGGCTTCGAACTCACAGAGATCCACCTGCCTCTGCCTCTTGAGTGCTGGGATTAAAGGTGTGCTCCACCACGCCCCTGCTCACATGGTGAGGTTCTGTTTGTTTGTTTTTTAGATCTAATTCTTTTCATTTCATGCATATGAATGTTTTGCACTTATGTAAGTACACCCGCAGGCATGGCCTGTAGAGCGCAGAGGAGGGATCAGATACCTTGGAACTAGAGTTACAGAAGGCTACGAGCCACCATGTGGGTGCTGGGAACCAAACCTGGGTCCTTTGCAAGAGCAGCCAGTGCTCTTAACCACTGAGTCACCAGGAGCCCTTCAGATGGCCCTATTGCCCCAACATGTGAGATTTTGTAGATTTGAATTTTGACAGAGATGCCAGAAAATGAGATCCCTGAACACTTGGAAAAGACAGGGGTGAGGGAGATGGCTCATGAGGTCTGATTATTTGCTTTGTAAGCATGAAGACCAGAGTTCAAATCCCAGTACCCGTGTAAAAAAAAAGGTTGGGAAAGCTGAATGTGTTTATAACCCAGTGTTGAGTGTCAAAGATGGCCAGGTCCCGGGAGCTCACTAGACTAAATGAGGAGCTCCCAGTTCAGTGAGAGGCTCCCTGTCTGTCTCAAGGCAATAAGGTAGGGGGTGACAGATAAAGATACCCAGTGTCCTGCTCTGGCCTCCACATGGGCGCACATGGGTGTATATGTCCACATGCATGTACACCAAACATACCACACGTGTACACAGAAAAAGAGAAGATAGCCAGGCTGTGGTGGTGCATACCTTTAATCATCCCAGCACTCACAAGGCAGAGGCAGGTGGATCTTTGTGAGTTTGAGGCCAGCCTGGTCTACAGAGGGAGTCCAGGCCAGCCAGGGCTGTTACATAGAGAAACCCTGTCTCAAAAAACCAAAGAGAGAGAGAGAGAGAGAGAGAAAGAAAGAAAGAAAATGCACAATACTATACGGGGCCAAGGCTCCTGATCTGGGAGCTCACACTTTGGCCTGTGACGTTACACAGGAAGTTAAATGCTTTTAGAGTCTGAAGTCAGATTTGTTCCACTTGAAAAGAAAGCATCCTAGTAGTAAGTAAGAAAGGACAGGGCTGGCTGTCCCGTGATGGGACTATGGGCACTCACAAAGCATCCCCTTGGAAGGTAAAGCAGTGTCTTAATAGAGAGGGCTCCAGGCACAGGGCAGTCAGCACTCCTGGGAAGAAAGCAGAGCCTTACCAATCAATGGAAGATGGAGTTTCCAGCAGAGATCACAGGATTTGGGGCTCACTGCAGAGACCCGTGAGGAAAGGCAGGCAAGAAAGGAAAGCCAGAGTTAAGAGGATTCACTCCAGACAAGCTGCCCCTGACATCGTGCCATACTCTGAAGTCAGGAATTGAGAGAGAAGAAAGAGAAGCAAGTTTTGCTGTGTGTCACAGCCACAGAGATGGGAGAGAGGGACAGAGAGAGGGAGAGGAAAAAATTCCACACAACACACATGTTCACCCAGGATGAGCTGGGCCTCCTGTATTTCAACCAGGAAGTGAGACAAGACAGGAAACAGTCCCTTCTCCCATCTAGGCTAAGCGGTTGAGCCACCTTGTCCCAGGCCTTCAGGTCCCATCAAAGAGTCACTTTGGCCAGGAACCATCAGGTGTCCTTGGGTTCCAGAGCAGAGAGACGGTCCCAGAAGAATCCATGTCTTCGCTCCAGGGGCAGTGATGGAGCCCAGACACCTTCAGGTTCCATTGGGGAGCAGCCTTGGCTAGAGACATCACTTGTTTATGACCACACATGCCACTCACCAAGGGCTGCCAGTGAAGGGAAACAGAAGAGCAGTGAGGAGGCCTTGTAGGGATGGTGGAGACAGGTTGATGATGCAGACGTCAGAAGTAGAGGAGGGTCGGTCATTAGATCATCGGGCAGGGCAGTAGGAAGTGTGCTGATGTGTTCTATGGGGCTGCTTCTATGTGGGGAGTTTCTACGTCAGTCAGACAGTGATGTCACGTAGCCCCATCAATTCAAGTTTGGACTTAGAGCCAGCAAGAGTCAAAAAAATGTCTGGAGTCAGGCAGTGGTGGCACACGCCTTTAATCCCAGCACTCAGGAGGCAGAGGTAGGTGGATCTCTGTGAGTTTGAGGCCAGCCTGGTCTATAGAGAAAGTTCCAGAATAGCCAAGGCTACCCAGAGAAACCCTGTCTCAAAAAAACAAAAACAAACACAAAAATATGTCTCGGGCTGGCAAGATGTCTGAGTAGATAAACGTGCTGCCAACCTGATGAGCCACGCGGTAGAAGGAAGGGTCCAGCTCCTGCAAGCTGACCTCTGACTGCCACATGGGCTATGGCATTTAGTCGTGCATAATTGCACACACTCAGAATTAATAAATAGATAAATAAATGTGAAGCATTTTCTAAAATGGTTCAGCATGCCCATCATTCCTAAATGGCATCCACAGGGAGTGTGGCGCCAATGCGCAGGGTGGGAGGGAGACCATGCTCCGAGGCACCTGCACCTTCCCCTCCTTGGCCCAGAGGTCACATTTTCACACCTTCATTGGTTGGTTTCTTGTACAGAAACCCGGTGAATCTGCTGAGAGAAGACATATTCAACTTGCAGTTTAACAACGGGCAGTGGGTTGAGCCCGTCCAGCATCGCTTCTACCAAAGGACGACCTATCTGTGCTACCAGCTGGAGCAGTACGATGACCAAGAGCCGCTCAAAGGCTGCCTGCAAAACAAGGTGCCAGATAGGTTCTCAGAGCCAGATGGAGAGGCAGCCAGGGACTCCCCCTCTCCAGTACACCGTGCACACTGTGAGGGTCCCAATGTTCACTTCCATTTTTTTTTTTTTTAAACTCACACACTATGGCTTAGTCCTTCTTGCTGGCCCTGGATCTTTCGAGGTTATTCCCTTTCATAGCAAAGTCTTCCCGCCATTCATGATGCACTCAATGTTAGATAACCCTCCCAGCTCAGCTTTTTTACTGCCTTGGAGAAACAATGGACTGCACCCAGTGGCCTCTTTACTGCTGTCTCCCAGGCTGCATCCTGATTAAAACATCTTTGAAAAACGCTTGCTGGGCGTAGTGGTGCACGCCTTTAATTCCAGCGCTGGGGAGGCAGAGGCAAGTGGATCTCTGTGAGTTCAAGGCCAGTCTGATCTACATAGTATGAGTTTTAGGACAGTCAGGACTACACTGAGAGACCCTGTCTTGGGGGAAGAAGAAGAAGAAGAAGAAGAAGAAGAAGAAGAAGAAGAAGAAGAAGAAGAAGAAGAAGAAGAAGAAGAAGAAGAAGAAAAGAAAAACTCTTGAGTCAGCATCCTAAAGTGAGGCTACAGCACTGGGGACCATCTCAAAAGCACCATCTGTTTACTGACCCCTTTTCTCTGGGCACCTCTGGGATCCCCGTCCAATTTAGAAAAGGCTGTGGTGCTTTGGGAATGCAGAGTTAGGGAGTGAGTGCAGAAAGGAGAGTCCTCTGCTAGGCAAGACATTAGGAAATTCACAAGCTAGAGCCCCTGGTCTCCAAGCTCACCCCCAATCTCATGATGTCTGGCTTCTGCCTTCCAACTCTTTCTTCTCTCTGCCTGGACTCCCCTCAGAAAGGTAAACATGCAGAAATCCTCTTCATTGATGAGATGCGTTCCTTGGAGCTGGGCCAAGTGCGAATCACCTGCTACCTCACATGGAGCCCCTGCCCGAACTGTGCCCAGAAACTGGCTGCGTTCAAAAGGGATCACCCAGACCTGGTTCTGCGCGTCTACACCTCCCGCCTGTACTTCCACTGGAGGAGGAAGTACCAAGAGGGGCTGTGTTCTCTGTGGCAATCAGGGATCCAGGTGGACGTCATGGACCTCCCGCGTAAGAAGGGACCACAGCCACCGGTGGGCAAGGGTTTCTCAGTTCCAAGAGGACTAGCGATGGCCAGGAGGCTGGGGGAGAAGCTGGGCAGGAAGGAAGGGTGCTGACCCTGCTGAGGGCAAAGATGTGCTTCCACCCGGAAGGGCAGATTCTATGCGGAGAGTAATATCCTGGGAGGAGAAGGCGGGAGAAGGAAGAAGGAAGGCCTCTGCACGGCCTGGGACCTCACTGGCTACCCGTTTTTCCATCTCAGAATTTATTGACTGCTGGACAAACTTTGTGAACCCCCAAAGGCCATTCCAGCCATGGAATCAACTGGAGAAAAACAGCAGGTGCATACAAAGACGGCTCCGGAGGATCAAGGAGGTGAGATCGCCCTGCTGCAGGCCCCGCCTCCTAGTGTAGACCCCGCCCTCCTGCTTCAGGCCCCTCCTGCAGACACCGCCTCCCGTTTCAGGCTCCACCCCCTCCTGCCGCTGGGCTTCCTGCAGGCCCCGCCCCTCCCTCCCTGGGCTGGGCTTTGGAGCCCCCCTACTGTTCACCCTCCCCACTGCCCTCCCTCCTAGACTTACTTTGTTTTCTCCCACCAGAGCCTCCTAGTCCTGCCTTCTCTCCCTCAGGCACTCTCCTCACCTCTCCGCCCCTGTTCTTTCCTTGAACATCCCTATTTCCAATTTCCTCCCTTCCTCGGGCTCATTCGCACACCCTAATTGCTCTCTCCACAGTCCTGGGGCCTGCAAGGTTTGTTGAATGACTTTGGAAATCTACAGCTTGGACCCCCGTTGCCCTGAGTGGCAAGAAGAGATTCAAGACAGTCTCAAGCATGTCCTTTGGCATCCGCCCCGATGCCGGGTCTAGAAGACCTCGCTCTCCTATTTCTTTTCTCTTTTATTTTGTTTTGTTGTTGTTGTTTTGTTTCTGTTTTGTTACTTGATGCAGAGTCTCACTGTGTAGCTTGCTACTCTGGAACTCGCTACTAGACTAGGCTGGCCTGAAAGTCATAGAGATCCACCTGCCTCTGTCTTCTGAGTGCTGGGATTAAGGAATGCGCCACCATTCCGGACCTTCCCTTCCTTTCTTTTATTCTCATTTTATCTTTTTTTTTTTTTTTCATTAATAGGTGCTTAATTTTGTAATTGAAAAATTTAAGTTGGGCTGGGCATGGTGGCTCACACCTTTAACCCAGTACTTGGGAAGCAGGGGCAGGAGGATCTCCAAGAGTTCGAGGCCAGCCTGGTCTATAGAGAGAGTTCCAGGATAGCCAGGACTGCACAGAGAAACCTTGTCTTGAAATAAATAAATAAATAAAAAAGAAGGGAAAAGAAAAAAGAAAATTAAGAAATTAAGTTGGGCGTGATGGGTCATGTCTGTAATCCAGCACTTGAGAGGCTGAGGGCAGGAAGATTGCCACAAGTTTGAGGTCAGCCTGGGGTACACAGTGAGATCCTGTCTCAAAAAAAATAAAAAATCAAGAGAGCAGACAGTTGGGGTTTATTTGTTTGTTTGTTTGTCTATTTTGAGACATGCTTTAAGCCTCCTGAGTGCTGGCATTAAAGGTGTGCGCCAGTACTGCGCGGCTATAACAAAGAGTTTAAAATCCAAAAACCCGAGTTCCTCTCTAAGAAGGTGAACAACAGGCCCCTCACCAATCATGGTGGGAATGACAAGAAAGGGGAGCCAGAGAAACGGCTACAGGCAAGCAAGCTTGCTGCTCTTGAAGACTGGAGTTCAGATCCCAGCAGCTAACCCAGCTCTTAATTCCAGCTCCAGGGTATCTGATGCCCTTTCCTGGACAGCCCCCCCCCCCACCTGTGGGCACCGCCCCTATATATATATGCCTGTATATATGTGTGTGTGTGTATATATATATATATATATATATATATATATATATATATATATATGCCTGTATGTGTGTGTGTGTGTGTGTGTGTGTGTGTGTGTGTGTATATATATATATATATATATATATATGCCTGTATATATACATAGATTAAAGAGGAAAAGAAAGAGACGTTTGTGGGCAAATTCCCTGTGGAGTGTAGAAGAGTTGGATTAGGTTGTTTTCACTGTGTTCTGTCCCTTCCAAATCTCTATTATGTGCCTAAATTATCAAGACTAAGGCAGGCTTGCTGCTATACCCCAGCAGTCCTATGTACCGCAGAGGCTGAGGCAGAAGGATCTCAATCCAGTTCAAGGCCAGCCTGGAAACCTTAGGAAGACGTGTCTGCAGCCAGGAAACGAAGGGAAGCTGGCGCTTCCCAGCTTCCTGTTTCCCTCTTCCTCCGTACAGGACCCCCACCCCTGGGAAGCTGTCTCCCCCATCAGGGTGAGTCCTCTCTCTTCAAACCTTTCTGGGGGTCTGGGAGACATTCAGAGGGTAAGGTGCTTGCTGTACACCAAGAGGACCTGAGTTTGGTCCTCTGCGCCCATGTAAAAGGCTAGGTGTGACGTGACTTGCTTAGGGCCCGGTGCTGGTGGGGTGGAGTGGGAGGCTCAGGGATAGGATGATCCCCAGAGCTCGCTCACTGGCCAGTCACTTTAGCTACAATGGTGAGCCCTGGGTTCGGTGAAAGGTTCTTTTTCATTAATTAGTTGCCAGGCATAATGGTACATGTCTTCAACCCCAGCTTCCTACCCACAGAAGTAGACGGATCTCTGGAGTTCCAGGCCAGCCTTGTCTGTATAGGGAGTCCAGGCCAGCCTGTCTCAAAAACAAACTAACTAAATGAATAAGATGGAATACAATAGAGGAAGACAGCTGACGTTGACTTCATGTGTACCCCCTACACACACACACACACACACACACACACACACACCCCACAAGGAAATGACATAGACCTCTCTGGAAACACTGTTAAAGAAAGACATATCCAAATCCAGTCAGGCTGACAGGGTTAACCATCTTTTAAAAGTCTTCTTGTCAATTTAACAGCTAAATATGTCACTAGAACATTCCATCATGATCCTCAAAGGCTTATGGCCATTTCATTACACAAAACACATTTAGTTCATTTGTGAGGTACCCCGAATCTTTTCTTTTTCATGTGTCTGGATGTGTGCCTGTGCACCATGTGCCCCTGATGCACACAGAGGCTAGAAGAAGGATTTGGAGCCCCTGAGGTTGGATTTACAGATGGGTGAGAGCCACTCTGTGGGTGCTGGGAATGGAACCTGGGTCCTCTGGAGGAGTAGTCAGTGGTCCTAACCACTGAGCAACCTTCCCAGTCCTGGTGCCTAAAATCTTAACAGTTCCCACATAATTAAAAATCCCAAAGTCTCTTCTGAGACTCAAGGCAATTGCTTAACAGTCAGCTTCTGTAAAGGAAACACACACACACACACACACACACATACACAAAGTCACACACTTCTAGTACACCACAGCATGGAATAAACACCCTCATTCCAAAAGAGCGGAATGGGCATGGCCAGGAAAGTTTCGCCAAAGCAAGACCGAAAAAAACCCACCAAGGCAAACACCAAAGCCTACAGCTCTGCCATCTGCAGTATACAGAACGTCTTTTGACAGCTCCACCCGAGGCCTGCCTCCTTTTGTGGACAGCCCATGCTCTCCTGGCATCTACAAAACATTGGGGGCTCTCCATTGCGACCCAGCCTTCTCCACAGCTTCACAAAGTGACTCAGCACAGCTTCCTCACGGGTAATCCAGTCCTGACACTGCCATACCTAGAGCTTTCTGGAATCTTGGTGTAAGCCTCGGTGGACCTGTAATAAGTGACGTTTTGCAAAAACCAGTACCATGTGGGTGACAGTTCCAAGTCTCTGCTCCTCGGTTCAACCTCTTTCGAAAGCCCTTCCATTCACACTGCCCAGCAGTGTTGTCTCCTAGGTGACTCCAAATCCAGTCCCGTTAGCCATGAAGATTAGCAGCACAGGTCCCATAGTAGTGGTTGGAAACAAAAATCTTGGCAAGGCACTGTTCAGGGTTCTAGGCTGAAGCCACAAGCAGCAATTTCAGCTAGTTAACCGCCAAGAGAACCAAAAGATGTTGAGGGTCAGTTTGATTAAGCACTTGAAGACGCTGGGTGGCCCACTGAGTCCCTAAGAAAGATGTGAGAACTGGACTGAGGAACTTGGAAGGACCCCAAGACTAGTGTTCAGCCGGGGATGACAGCATGGCTATTGTGCAGGACGTTCCGCCCACACCAGCTGTCTGGACACTGGATGCTGACACAGAACCTCCGCCCCCGGTCACCTCCACTAGGAACAGAATGAAGGAAGGAAAAGTGAGGAGGAAGGAGGTTACAATGAGGAGCACAGCACAAGAAGAAAGGGAAACCAGGCATATCACACTAAACGTAAAGAGCATAAATCGTTTCACACTGTTTACAAGAAACACCTTTTTTCCCCCTTCTTTTTTTAAGTAACAGAGGTTGAAAGTAAGGGGGCAAACACCGCGACCAGACGTAACTATGAAAGAAGTCATTTGTTTTGGCTGATGATTCTAGAAGGGGATTCATAATGACAGGAAGGGTCAGCAGCCAACAGCTGAAGCAGGAAGCTGAGAGATCACGGTTCCATCTGCACCCAGGAAGCCTAGCTGGATGTGGGAGGAGGCTGTAATCACTTAAACCCAACCCCCCGGTGACAAACTTCCTTCATCAGCACTCCACCTCCTAGCCTGGTGGTGATCCCAGCACTCGGAAGGAGGAGGCAGACCGATCTCTGAGTTCGAGGCCAGCCTAGTCTACAGAGCGAGTTCCAGGACAGCCAGGGCTACATAGAGAAACCCTGTCTCAAAAAACAAAAACAACAAAAAATTCCATCTCTTAAAGGTTCTAAAACCTCCCCACCTGGACACCAAGCATTCAAATATCTGAGTCCATGGGAGGCATTTCTCATTCAAACCACCACCACAGGCAAATAAAAAGATGGAAGCAAGTCTGTAGGGCAGGAGTGGCTGGTGGCACACGCCTTTAGTCTTAGCACTCGGGAGGCAGATGCAGGTACATCTCTGTGAGTTCAAGCCCAGCCTGGTCTACATAATGAGTTCCAGGCCAGCTGAGGCTATCTAGTGAGACCATGCCTAAAACAAACAACAACAATAAAAAACCGACCTCTCCTGGAGCTGGAGTTATAGGCAGTTGTGAGCTGCCTAAAGAGCGTGCTAGAAACAAACCCCAAATCCTCTGCAAGAACAGCAAATGCTCCTAACCGCTGACTCATCTCTGCAGTCCTCAGAGACAACTTTTGTGGGGTTGGTTTTCCCCTTCTGCTCTCGTGTGGGCCCCAGGAATTGAAGTCGGGTAGTCAGGCTGTTGGTGTGCAAGTGCCTCTGCCTGCTGACGTCTCATCAAGTCCAGGGGAGCAATATGAACAAGGCGGGGTTCGAGGCATGTGACAGGTTAAAAAGGGACTTAATGTCATGACACAGAGGAACAATTGAAGAATATGACATACTATATTTAGACTTTTCCTTGCACCAGAAGAAGGTCGGGGCTTCAGAGATGGCTCTGTGGTTAAGAGTGTTTGCTGCCCTTCCAAAGGACCTGAGTTCGGTTCTTGGTGCCCACATGGTGCCGCTCACAGCTACCTGTGGCTCCAGACCCACAAAGGGGTCTAGTGTCCTCCACAGGCATCCGTACACACGTGGCACGCGTTGACATCGACATGTACATACACACGAAGAAAAATAAAGTAAATCTTTAAAAACTAGCCGTCAAGAGGGGGAGAGAGATGGCTCAGACACAAGTCTGCTGCTTTTGTAGAGGATGCAAATCCATTTCCTAGCGTCCACATCTGGTAGCTCACAACCATACCTAACTCCTGCTCCAGGGGCTCTGACGCCTCTGGCCTCCATGGGAACTTATAATCATGTGCACACACACACACACACACACACACACACACACACACACACTTACACATTCTTGAAAAAAAATTTTTTTTTCTTTAAATAGCAGTCATATACATGAAGGAAAAAACTACTTGAAACCCCAGATTTGGCTGGAGTGGTAATGTTGGTAGCTCAAGGTGGCCATGCTTGGTCTAATCGAGTAGCCCTCCCCCTTTGTCAACACCTTTGTTTCTCCCAAAGCTAAGGGTGTCTGCGCGACTCAACTGTAATCTGTCAGTGTAAGAAAATATCTACTGGGAGGGCATTTAGATTTGACAGACAGACAGACAGACTTTGAGCCTATTTGGTTAGATGAGCTCTAAACCATTTGTGTGGGTGTACTGGTGAATTGTTGCATGCTGTTTGAATTCATTCAGAGTCTGGCTCTGAAGGTGGGGTTGCTTCCCCCCACCTACTTCAGATGCAAGCATGTTTACACCAAGTGTCCCCCGAGACCCCTTGTCTAGGGATGGGCTGGCCCCA